ATGGCGTCCCTCTGTTCGTACTCGGGGGAGCGCCGCCTCGTCGCTTCTCGTCGTCCGCTCGAGGTACCCGTCTTTAGACCCTCCTGCGGTTCTGTCGCAACTGGTTCGCCTCTCATGTCGGGCCCTCCGTCATTGGTTTGGTCAGCCCATCTCAGCGGTGCTTCTTGCCTAATTCGTTCCTTCAGATCCCTCAGTGCTCGATCGGGCGATGTCCTGTACTCCTCTCCCGCTTCGCCCGTGGTCGGTTGTGGCCCCATCGTGCCGGGTTCCATTGGACCGCCAGAAGATGCAATTAGGTATTCTGGCCAACTGTTACAGCCCGACCCTATGACTGTCGCTGCAGCCCGGACCCGTGACAGTCGCGGCAGCCCGGACCTGTGACAGTCGCGGCACCCCGGACCTGTGACAGTCGCGGCACCCCGGACCTGTGACAGTCGCGGCAGCCCGGACTTGTTTCTTTGTCACGACTCAAGTCCGCCTCCAATCTTAGCTCTCGACTGCCTTGATTACCACTTCCAGTATCTCGTACCCCAAACCTAGCCAATGTCTCGTGATCAACACCCCTCAAAAGTCTCCGAACGTCTATCCCCGTCCTCCTCGCTCGTTCTCCTAGCCCTATCATGAATCGGTTAGCCCGCTAAAGGCCCTCCTACTGCCATCCAAAGTCGCCCATCGACCTTTCTAGCTTCTTTTATCCTTCCAAGAGCTTCCAATTTCTATTTCCACTACCTTATCCCCTCAACAGTTACGAGGTCATCTCTTAACAGCTGAGATAAGTTAGTGCTATAACGACTTGTAACCTCATCGCCGACCGCTCCAATATGTCATAAAATGTCTCAAAGTCCTCATTATCTCCCCCTTCGTCTATCGCCTCTAAAGTCTTCATCGTTTCCTTCCAGTACCGGTTGTGGGCGGATAACACCCTAAGTATTGCACCATCTATTACAACTCTCCCTAACTCTCCAGCTTTCCTAGCTTCGGTTATCTTCAACCTCTCAGCCTCTCTGGTCGTCTCGTACCATGCCCTTATGCTAGACCGCCCTTCGAAAGGTGTCACTTGGAGCACGTWTTTTATCCTYCGTCCTCCTTCTATTCCAATCCAAAGTCCTGTCCCCCTTGCCTCACGCAGGGCACGGCGGAAACACTCTGCCTCTTCAGCTATGCACAGTCTGGTATGGAGCTGGAGTTCTATGATCACTAACACTAATGGTCCGTCCAGTCTCCCTACGACATGTAATGAGTACCGATCCGTCGTGTGCAGTGCAGTCCCGCTCATGTCCTGTCGCTACTCCCCTGTGTTACTTTGTCTTCCGTTGTCTCGCTCTGTGCAGATCGCTCACTAGTATCTTCGCGTGATACACTTCTAGCCCTTATCCTCTCCAGAAAGTCTGATCTCCACGCCTGGATAATCTCTTTTTCTTCCCTAAACAGATTGTCTAACTCTAGTGTCACGAGTTCAGCCCTTCGCAACTTGCCCTCGTCCTGGCACGACCAGATCTCCCTTAACTTGCTCTCCAACTTCTTTACCTGGTTCAAGAGTGGTTCTTTAACGCGTTTTCTGACTCTTCCGACTGCTTCTCTCTCCTCTTCCATACTCAGTCCACATCTTTCTCCTACTCACCCTCTCACCCTCACTCTAGCCTCCTCTACCGTCTCATCGTGGTAGTGCTCCGCGCGCATATAACCGTGAGACCATATCATCATATTATAGGAAATCGAGGTCTGGAAGGTCAATCACGCCAGTACATCAGCTCTACGCTCGTGGATCAAATCCCTAGCTCGTTGTCTGCACTCACTCTCCGTCAAGTCCTTGTCTAAGTATGCTCGGAGAAGTACTGTCACAGTGTATCCTGTGCTTACCAGTTGCTCTTCTACACGCATCACCGTGGGCGTCCTTCCCGGCATTCCCTAAGCTGCGACCTCGAAGAGAAATCTCGCGTCCTCTAGCCCCGCGTAATCGATCTCTGCCCGTCTCCTGCAGTACCTAATCAGATCGTTGGGCCTCAGACAGTCCACCCGGCTTGTAACATCTATGATGTCGTCAAGCGTCTCTCTACTGGGCGGCCCCCACCTCACACAAATGGCGTAGTATATTTCCTTGAAGCGGGGCGCTAAGCCCTCCCAGAGCGCGTAAAGTGTGTGGTCTACTGCTCTACTCAAACGATCCACGCTCCCATAGGTCTGCCCTATTACGAAGGTAGGAAGTCCGAATCGCCAATCCTTTCTCGGGTWGAGGGTCGGATGTGGTGGACCGTATACCAAGCAGCTCCTACTCGTCCTCGCTCCGGAGAGTCTCGCCAATTGCTGGTTAACGATCACTTTGGCCAACAACTCTTTTCTCCACCAACTCCTGCTCGCCCCTGCGAGTGTTAGCCCTATCTCTAAATTGTATGTTCTATCCGCTATTAGATATCCGTCCCCTTCTAGTTCATGAGTCCTCTCGGGTCGTCCGTCACGTATTATCATTGTCCATAGGAAGAGCCCCTCTGCGAGCCACGTTCCCAAGTATCGTATCGGTACACGGTCTGCCTCTTCTAATGTCACAGGAAGTGGTACGTCGTATCCAACCGCTGTCTCTTTGGGTCCCACAAGCTTCCTCACACTATACGATTCGGACTCTCGCGTGAGAACATAAGCTAACCAGGCCGCTGAATCACTCCTCATTTCTTCAGCTTCACTCTACTCCCTCCGATGCACCCCATCTTCCGACGTTGCTAACCCTTCAGACAACTCTCGCTCTAAGGTCCAGTATGGTCGAATAGGTTCAGTAGTCAGGCTCACTCAACCGTCACCCTGGTGTGCTCCTCTACCTCCTACGCCCGGACCGCTACTCCTATCCTGGGAAAATGGGCGTCTATAACGTCAATCTCCTCCTCGTCAACCTCACTCTCTGGGTCGACCCAGTCTGGCTCCCACAGCTCCTCGTCGTCCTCTCGCTCCCAACCCTCGTCGTCAAACTCGTCCTCGACGCGGTATGGCGCCTGTCCTATGGCCTGGTAGTATTCCGTCAACTGATGGCCGTATACCAGAGGTCGCCCGGCGTCCTCACTCCACCAGCTCCCCCAGTCGTCTGAGAAGAGCCGCCCGATGCAGGTCACGTACTCGGGCCCTGCTCGGAGCTCACGGTCCAGCCAATCCCGAACGCACGGAGACTGGGGYCACTCGTCGTCTATCGAGCGGATCAGCTCTATAAGCTGAACCCTCTCGTCTCCCCAGCGAGGCCCACCAGTCGCGAGCGAGTAATGGATATAGTCCAGGTCGGCAGGTCTCCTCGCCAGGATCTTGAGATCCTGATAAGCCAGGTATGTCTCGACCACTCCACCAAT